AGAGCACAGCCTCATATTGGAGGTGGTATATCGTCCTCGCTGGCCGCGACAGCCTGTTGAAGAGGGCGTTGCGCGTCGCGGTTTCGGCATGATGACGTCGACGTGAAGCTATCAGGTGTGGGACCCTGCAGCGCAGAGGCTAGACCGTTCAGACGTTTTTGCTGCATGAGGAAGACACGCCGCTTAACGAGTCCATTGGACATGGGCATGCACAGATATCTGATAGTAGGCAATGAGAGCGCGAAGTTTGCCCAGGTGGTCACGAAACGACCCCGGACGGCTGTCTTTGCGCACGCGGCACGTGCTGGCACCTGCACCAGCGAACTGGGCTCTACACCTACAAAACAGGCAGTCAGTCGCAACCACCACTCCACTCCCTTTACTTTCTATTCGACTTGACCCCGCAGCGAACAAGAACATAACGGCATAACCCTCCCTTCCTCGAAGATTCAATGGACCGACTCTATCTTCCTCTATATACAAATCCGTCCGAAGCTGACAAGCCATCCAATCCGAATTACTTGCTCCAGGACCTCCTTTATTCGTTCGCTTTCTTGAACATGTTGTAATAAGGCGGGCTCTCTTCGAGCAACACCGCTTTTCATGCCTTCTCACTTGTGGAAGTCATCGCTTGTGTTGAATTACGTCGGGTTTGTCTTGCGAATAGCATCTACGTGAAGTCGCGCTAGTCGACTGCATTACCGTCTTTGTTGCACTGTATCAGTCTTGTAATCTTCTTTGCAAAAGTCAAGGAGAATGACTTTAGGATCAGCTCAAGACATATTTTGAACTACTTCACACTGCCAGAGCAGGCACGATTAGAAGGACTCAGTAAGAGCTTGGAAATTACAGTAACTCTTAGAGCATCCTCGAAGTGGCTCCTTCAGTGGAGATGTATAGACCCGTCACGACGGAGACTAAAGCTCCAGCTCCAGGCCGGCCTTTTCAAGAGCGACCTCGGGATGCGTGGCAGGCGGACGCAGTCTGGAAGGCGCAATCGCGCAGTCGCCTCCTGCCGTGAGCACATTAACCTCCTACCGGGTGAGGATAACAGCCATTAGCGGTCTAGAGGACTGAAAAGTCCAAGCTCAACAGGCTCAACAGGCTCAACGCGGGCGTGCTTGCTGTATGAAGTTTCTACGCTAGCTACCCGCGTTCTGGGGAAGCAGTCGCCCACAGCATATAATCCCCCGTTCCTTCTCCTTGCTAAAGATCCTCACCTTGTTCTCGCTCCTAGTCATCAACTGCCTCAAACTTTCCATTACACTCAGTACGGCAATCTCCATTACATCCAGCAACCAAGCACCAAGTCGCAAACATGAAGGCTACTACCATCATCGCCACTCTCCTCTTCGGAACCACCATGGCCGCCCCTGGAGCTGTAAGTTTTAATCCCCATGTACCATCATCCTGTTTGAGACTATCACTGACAGTCACTTCCCAAAGATCTCCCTCAAGCGCTCCTTCATCGAGGCCGACACTGGCGTTGATGGCGGCGGTGCCACAGTCGCCAATACTCTTACGGCATGTGTCGAGTGTCCATGCAACGTAAGTTATCTCCTCTGCTATTTATCGCAGAACGAACAATACTGTACCTGGCTGATGAATATGCGTCTAGGGTTTCTATGGTGGCTGCACATGTGTTGTCAACGGCTGCTGTCTCCAGAAGAACTGCACTTGGCCTCGTTCTTGAGGGCTACTTTGTCACTACAAGACCGAAATGGACGCACCCTGAGTGAAGTCTTCTGGGGTGCAAGTATGTGGATATACAAGGGATGGATGCACGACTTCACGGCAAACGACAGGATTTAAGGATCATGGATATATGTCTCAAGTTATATGACTAGGCAGTGACAATGCCTGAGACTCAATCAAGAGAATGTTTCCAACTTCGTTGTCCACTCGTCTTGTAATAATGGGTTGATGCAAACAGCAGTACCCACCAACATATTCAAGACGGTATACTGCTCGAGGTCATCATGAAAAGAGATGACAGCCAGACCAAAGACCGGACAACGATTGCGAGGGCGCTGACCACGGCCGTTGTCTAAGCCTTCCAGCCACCCTCAGGCACCTCGACATGGCCGTCACCATCACAGCAGCATCCCCCCGAGACGCATTCACAAGCGCCAGTAAAGCCCTGGAGGCGCCGTCAGTGAATCTTGATAATACTCCATGCGCCGCCCTTGCAGAGGAAAGGCCGACGACGAGGAGACTTACTCCACATGGACACTCGATACAGGCAACTTGCACAGCACCCTCGACGTTATCGTTGTCGCGAACTGCGATGGTCTTGAAGGAGCGCTTGAGAGAGACCTGGCAGGATGGTGTCAATAAAGTCTTTAGGCCGAAGGTATGGAGATACGTACAGCTCCAGGAGCGGCTAGGACAGTGGCAGTGTAGAGCAAGGTGCTGATGAAAAGAGCGAACTTCATCTTGACTTGGTGTTTCAAGAGTAAGTAGGTCGGTGTACTCGGTGGTTGTTTGGGAGGTGCTTAGAGGAGTCGAGGGAGTCAAAGTCGTCACTTTATGGAAAACAAAATCGGGGCGGAATGGCCAAGTGAAGTTGGAGTGAAACCGCAGCGGAGAGTGCATATTCGCGTATATAACTATACACTGGTGGTCTCGCTCAGCTTTCTCTCTCTGCATAGCTGGTACCAATGAAGCGTCCTTCCTGCCTTCGTGCAGGACCCGAACTGTGGCCAAATATCGATTTCCTTCTCAGCTTATCCTCATGCAATGGTCAAGAAACATGGCGTGGCTGGTGGAGTGTCGCATTTTCGTGTCAGTGGCTGGCTAAAAAAAAGTGAAAGTCGACTTCGCCCCACGCCGTCATCCATTGTCTCTCCTTGCCGCTAGGTCAGAGTAACGCTAATCCTACGAATGACCCGGTCTGACAAAGAAGGGCCAAGACACAGGTAGCCGAGTCTTTGAGCACAGCTGTGCTGACATGGCTCTCTCTTGTCGAGAGGAAAAGTAGCCACGCAGCCATACGGTGTTCTTCTCTATACGGCATTGTTGATCTGCCCATACTGAAAGCTTTAAGCACGCAGTGGATTAGTACCCGCAGGATGCGATCGATGGTAGCCAAGAAGAAGGACGCATATATGTGCATATTATTCGTTCGAGTTGCGCTGCGCCGTGTTGGTGCCTTGGCTTCGCCGTGGGGTCTGAGACAACCCGTCAGCATGCAAAGCTGCGAGTTACGACGAGTAAGAGCCAGATGTTTGGCCCGAGAGATCCGTACTGAAAATGTCAATGAGCGTGAATGAGGTGCGAGTTTGGCGACAGGCGGATGATAGTGCGTGCGTCATCGCCCCACTTTTAATCGCGTCCCCGACGCGCCCCTACCCGTATGTGGACGCGACTGCGCTTGACCATCCAGATGTCCTCAACCACCATCATCTCAGATCACTTCAGCCAACTCAGACACTCGATAGCTTGTACTATAAACGCAGTGCTGTATCTGCTTGCTGCATGCGAAACATTGTACAAGCTGTTCTCCAGTCTTATACTTCCGCTGAGCCTCCGCTGCGCTCTACCTGGTTACGAGACCACTTCGAATATTTTCAGGCAGTACCTCGAGGATAACGACTGCTTCGTCTTTATGAATTGCTTACCATGGTTGACCCTATTCTCGCGCGGGATGCGGCTTGCAGACGAAGACAATCGTCGTTGTCATTCTTCTCGAATTTCCGACATGCTATAGAGCAAAGTTCACCCGCTTTAGGTCTACGGAAGTCGTGGTGAAGTCGGAATGAACTCAGTAAGCTATATCGCACCATCAACTCTTGTCCCTGGACCTCGTGGTGAAGCTGGGAAATTGTCTCATATACTCTGCCCTTCACTTTGTTCGATCCTTGTCGCAGCTTTGTCGTGGTGAATTCGATGAACTGTCTCGCATACTACGATTTCACTTTCTTAAATCCTCGTCGCCGCTTTCAACATTTCCCCTCACCGACCACGCAACGAATTTTGTCCCAGCCACAGGAACGCCAGAATGAGCGCTCCGATACTCCCCGTTTATCCGCAATGGGTTGTGCAGACCCTCACACCCTACCTGCGCTACGCCTTCAAGCACTTGTTGCGTGACGATCTCGACATTGAGCCGTACGTCCAGCGAGCGCTCGAGACCTCTAGCTTCCAGCCCGTAAGTTCCCTCATTTGTTCACTTTGACTGCCGTCGGGGTGCTGATCCGATTCAGAAATCCTCTATCGACGGCGACGATCTCTTTTTTGAGCGCGTGTTCTTCGCGATCGAACGTAGACATCAAAGCCTCCCAGCCGAGCTTAATGGACTCACGGATAACCTGCAGCCTCTGGCGAGGTTTCTCATCCGGCGGGCGCAGCTAAAGGGACCATACGAGCTGCTACATCGCAATGCGCAGCCTAGTGAAGCATGGAAGAAGTACGAGAGTGTACGCCTCATGCAGATTGCGCCCGAAAACGCGAGAGGTATGTACGCGCTTTCACCAGATCTGCTACCACACCGTCACAAGCACAACGCTCTTCACCCCATTTAAGCCCTACATCCAACCCACACTGTTCACAGTTCCGCTCCTTCATCTCGGTAATGTCATATATACACCCTCAATTTCTCTACGCTGTCCAAATTTCAACTGCTACATAGGCCGTGGACTCTTTTGCAGCGAACTCTTTCTTAATTGTGGATACTTACGCGCACATCAGTGCCAAACTATTCCCCTTCATCTGTGGACAATCAACCAGGAGCTTCAACTTTCGCGATGACGGCAAGAACACCCACGAACCACGATATCGACCCTCGTTTGCTCTACGCAAACCCGGGCGACTTCACTGAACCCGGGCTCTCAGGAACCTTGACTATTCCCGAGTTGCAGCACTATCAACGTCGAAACCAAGAGATCGAGGCATTCTGGGCAAGAAGACAGGGTCAGCTTCCCAATCAGCAGCAAGGATTTGGACTACAACACCCGTCACCCGGCTCCCAGGGTTCTCTACAAGGTCGTCAACACGAAATGATGTCGCCAATTTGGCAGAGACAGTCCAGTGACATTGTGAACGGCCCAGGATTGCCGTACGCACCGCGTCCGGCTCTTCAGCAGCATTATTTTCCGGACTACTTACAGCAGGTCGGACAGCAGCGGAGTATGGGGCCACCCCAGCTTCCAACCCCTGCACCGACTCCTACGGCGCAGATGTATACACCGGCTCAGTCCATACAGCAGTACTCCCCACAACCGGGTTCTTCCCAGCCTATGGGCTATTCGTCTTTAGCACAGCCGCAATACCTCCAGCCACGCCAGGCGCCCACGGCACCAGAGCTCAAAATCAAGCAACACAGCTTCCCTACTGTGCCTCGGTCTCAGTCCACGCAGTCCGGAAATACTGCCAACCGTCGTCGCAATACTCAGCCTGGCCTCCCGACTCTTGCTAGACCTGCCGGCATCTCCAAGTCCGTTCCCCAACCCTCCGCAACTACTGCCACACCGGACTGGACCGACACAGCTCAGCTTGCAGCTAGTATGCCGGCTTTCAAAAGTCTCCCGAAAGCAGAGAAGGTAGCCAAAATTCTGGAGATCAACAGGGCTATCAAAGCCAAGAACCCTACTGCGCTCACGGCGATGGATCAGTTCCTCCTTGACCACGATCTCGCCAAAGAAGACGTCACGGTAGTGGGTGTGGTAGGGCCCGGTGGTAACATAGTGAAGCCACCAGGTCAACAAGCGATAACCGTTCCGGCGCCGGGCTATCCGACTCATCCGGGTGTGCATGCGACTCCATCGGGTATGCCAGCCTTCGCGCATCATCCGGGGTATTCGAACATTACTAGTTCGTTTCCTCAACCGTCCTATAACCCACCAACAAAATCTGCACCGGCCAGCAAGCGAGGGAGGAAGAAGAAGGAGAAGAAGTGAGACAAGCTCGAACAGCGCGCGAGCTGAATTGGCTATTATGATACTGATGTTCGTTCGCTAATTCTTCCTGTCACCTCGATTAAGAAGAAAATTGAACACCCTGGAGTCTTCGTTGGTGGTGAATTTTCCAATTCGCCCGCTCTATACCCATGCAGTCTACAAAACTGTTTAGGTTTTTCTTTATGAGGCGCTGTCTTAGTGCTTGATTTGATGGCACCAGGTTTTCAGGCTGTTATGTGCGAGTTCATACTGTAGGGCTGTCGGCTTGGGCACGCTTCCACGCAAAGTATAGCTAAACAAGGTTGATGAAGCAAATTACAAGATGTATTACTGATTGCAATATTGAGACGTGACTATTTGTGCATCGCGACTATCTAGCATACGCCCTCAACGCAGGCTCACCGTACATCTTCTGCGGGTAGGTCAAAAGTAGTGCACCGGCGATAGGAATGAGACCTTCAGTAGCCAATACATCATCAAGGTCGAGACCCTGAGCGGCGTAGGTACTGCAAACGCTCTTAACATCAATGCGATCCACATTGCCCGGTCCATCGTGCGTAAGCGCATCAACGATAAGCGCGTAGGTTAGAGGGTTGAACAGAACGCCGGCATGGCCGTAAAGAGAGCCACCTAGCTGCCCAAAGCATACCTTCTGTACCTCGTTGTTGGAGACGCCAACATTGCGCACGTCTTTGATGAAAGCGGAGGCGATGGTGCCTTGTTGAGGCTCCACAACCTCATCGAAGAGGGCGGAGTAGAAGGTCGTAGTGGGTACGTATGCGCTGTCGCCTCCGTCGCGTCTGAGCGACGCAATAAAATCGGAGGTAGCCTCTTGCTGGATAACAGAGGGGTCGCAGGGAAGGAGCGCGATGTCGCTGTTCGGTGTCAAGCAGATCGCGTTCGCGATGACAGTGCCCTTGAAGTCTGGAGACACGGGAAGGAAGTCCTTGACAACCTTGCGGGTTGATGGCCAGTACTTCAACACCCATTGTGTGTCTAGACCACCCTGGGACCAGGATATGACGGCGATGTTTTCCTTGTTGGTGCGTGAGACGGCACTGATGTAGTTGATGGCGTAGGCAACGTATTCAGAGTTGGTTTGCGCGTCCGCAAGCATAGCGCCGGGGATGTTGAGCCATACAGGGTCAGCATAGCTCTTGCCATTCAACAACTTCCTGAGGTTGCTGGCAAAGTTTGTGCCTCCATAAGCACCAGTTCCGGGTACGAAGATCACTGGGCGCTTCGCGCCGTAGGTGAAGCTAGGTGGGATGAAGAGTGCCTTCCGGAGCGCAGACTCGGAGAGTGTGTATGGTGCATCAGCAGCATCCTTCTTGGGGTAGATACCGACTGTGGCTGGGTTATTGTTGTCGATGCTGTTCTCGCCGAAGGGTAGACCACCGGTGAAAGCGGCCTTTAGCGTTTCGTCAAGGACAAGGCCACCGGCTATCTGGGTCGCAACAGCGGCGAAAAAGTCCGTTCGCGTGGTCGGGCTCGCCCAGATCTGGGAATGCCTTGCGACTGCCTCTTCGATGTTCGTTGGCCGCGAAGTAGGCTGAAGTTGCTGAAGGATGTCGAGCACCTTTGGGGCATCGCCGTCCTTGACTGCTTGGTCGCATTGGCCGAGAAGGCCACCAACGAGGGAGGTCAAACCAGATGTGAGTTTACTGAGCAGTTGACGTTCATCCAGACCCTGGACTGCGTCGACGGCCGGTGCTGGTGCTGCAATCGGTGCAGGTGCCGCAGCTGGAGATGGTGCGGGTGCTGCGAGCGACGCAGGGAGAACGCTCAGAAGAGCTAGCGACTTGATGGAGAGACGCATATTGACAGTTGCTGGACCTTGGTACAAGAAGCAAGCACGACCAAAAGATGAGGAAATGCAGGGCCCTGGTCGATCAAGATAAGCAAGCATACGACCCTTCTTTAACCACTCTTCCAACGCGAGTCGTGAAGCTCAAGATCGTCATCCTGCCCAAACGTTGCATCGCAGTCCACCACGAAATCTTTACATTGTCACCGCTCTAGCGTCGCCGACCAGGTGGAACAGTCGCGGAAGCGCATCTTGGTATATATCGATCTGCATAGGCCTTGTAGATCTTGCACTACGTAAGTCATTAGCGTACGGGACGGGCTGTGATCATGATCCCTCCCCTGAGTAAATCAAGAGCTGCTTTACTTGATCCGGTTCGAAGACTATTGAATGCGGCAGTTGAGCGCCACTGACATCGCGAACCCACTTTCCGCTTGGGCTCGGATTGACGCATGGCTCTGGCGCATTCGGCATTCGATCCACGCGAACGAACCTTCTGCACGTGTTAGAGATGCATTATAGTGATGGTGGTTGAGCAAGGAATGCATGAACATTGGCCGGTGAAGAGTGCGCGGAGAGAAGAGGAGTTGCGTCCACAGCCAAATAGACGGACTGGGTTGTGAAGATGCGATTGGCCGAGTCTTGCCAGCACACCTGGGCAACCACCTGGGCAGTCTCTTAACCTGACCACGCTCGACCTCGGCTCAGCATCTCGCCAAGTTATCGGCGATGAAGTTTGCGCGCTGTGGAGACACATGCAATTCTTCTCAAGGACGAGGAATTCTGTCCGCCAGATGGGTCTTTTTGACGTTGACAAAATGTCCGTGGGCCCACACTCCGCACATCAAAGCGCGGCCCAAACACCCGGTCCGCCCTGCGGAAGTTATCCCCGTACTTCTTCTTTTCCAGCCCGCACAATCTCTCCTTCCGATCCTCAACCACGGGGAGTATATTTCAGGCGTATGCTAGCGTATCACACCAGAACAAACTTGTAGTTCTTTCCAAGACCCCTCGTTCGGGCTAATCTGTAGCTAGAGCACCACTACTACTGCGTTAACATCTGGAAAGTTACTGAACCGCCTACAATCACCTCTACCCCGCCACAACTCCAAGCATTTGGTCTCGACTCTCTTGTCTTTTTCTCTCTCCCCCTCAATTCTGCGCGTTCCATGGCGCCTGATTTGACGAGCTTCTCGGAGTCGTTGAAGCCGTGGGCTGTCACTGAGTTCCCTCGGCTCGTTTGGGTGTGTATACTAACAATGTCGCAACAAGAGTTTATTTGAAGGTGTCTGTATGGTCAGTTGTATAGGATCATGCCATGCCTGCAGTGAGAAGGGCCTCGGGACCTCGGGAGTCGAACGGCCGTGAGCTCCATCAAAGTCTTGGATAGAAACATAATAGCAGCTTATGCCCTCCATTCAAAGACGCAGGTCCAGCGTACAAGAACCATCAGCCAAGACATCAGAGAGGATTGTTGTTGGATCGTGCAGCATAGCAATCTGGTCATTCTGCGATGCGGAGAATATTCTGTAATGGCGCTAAAAACGCGTGACGTCATTTTAAACCAGGCATGTTGGTAGCGTGATTCACAGCCGTCCCGGGCTGCACCCGTGGACGCGACATCTACTTCAGCGTCCCATCTTTTGGACGACACCGTGCTCGCCCCATGAGTTTCTATCGCGCGCATGCGATTGATGTCTCTTTTTTTCCACGTTGAAGAAGCCTGTCGCAATGCCACCCAGACATCTAAATGATGCCTACCGGCTTGGAGAAGCCATGAATCAGCTCGCGGAAGAGCTCGCCTAGGTGCGACGGGGAAGTAATACTTTTAAGCAGCATGCGATGTATCGGTGACATGGTAATGTCTGCAACCATCTGCATCATGATGTACCTGCCAATCATACTCTGATTGTCGCAGTCTTGGTAGTCACGTCCACAGGAACCGTAGCTACTACGCTCAAAGCGTCTTCTATGGCCCAGGCACAGACTCATCGCGACCTTTCACGTTGCACGTCGCACATCGACCCTACGAACGCACGCCCTCCCTATTCCTAATGTACCTTGCTTTATCATCGTGCAGGGCCGACACGATCTCCTATCTGGACCCTAATGAGTAGCTCGTTCTTTCAGTTACCGCTGCCTACAGCTCCTTCTACCCTACACCAGGCCCAACGGCACGATGCTGCTCTTGACGTCCTCAACACATGCACCCTTCCGCAGCTATTGGATCTCGATGACAGGCCCACATTCGTGCTCAACATGGACGAATATTCGAAGGGGTGTCGAAATCCGATACGACCGATCTTTTGCAATGCAGCACTCCGAGAGCAACACCAGCTTTTGGAGAAGGTAATTGGCACTTCGCCAAGCAATAGCGATCCCCTGGATGGTGGAGCAACACATGATGAGTTTCGAATATGGACGACAATCCTCAGCCGATTCAACGACTCCCGGGATATATTTCCCATCACCATCGAGTTTGAGAACTTTTTATGGCTTGGTGTTTCGATTTTTCCCAATTGGCGAATCATTAGCGCACACAAGCTTTTCCAGAATGAAGATATTCCTGAAGGGGATCCGCTGAGCGCATCAGCACCGCGACTTGAGAAAGAGGGGCACGGCGACCTCACTGCCGACGTAGCGAAGAGTTTAGCTTCTGCAGAGGCAATACCGACGCGGGAGATCATCGAGGATGTGCAACAACCTAAATTTCCGATTGTCTCCCTCGGGCAGGACCGTGACAAAAATGGCTCCTCGAGCATCTCAGCGATCACTTTGTCTACACCCGACTCGTCCGTACCCGACTGGACAGCACCGAACCCCAGAGGTGTTCTCTCGGATCATCTACAGTTTATAAGGGGCATCGACTGGGCAAACACACCATTGGGAGCTATGAACAGATGGTCGATCCAGTTCCGAGAGATCATCTGCTTAGTCATGCGCAACCCTCATCCATCTTCTGTCTTCTGGGGCGAGGACCTGACCATGCTTTACAATGAGGCCTATCGAGACGACGTGACGGGCGACAAACATCCGGCTTTGATGGGAACCGGTTTCTCAGGCCCCTTCGGTGAAATGTGGCACGCGGTTGGTCCTGTAATTCGCGAATGTGCTCGGACAGGCCATGCGCAGCTAAACCACAACCAGCCGCTACCCATCATGCGTTACGGTTACATGGAAGAGTCTTTCTTTACTTGGTCTTTTGTCAGTATTGATGCCCTTGATTTGGCCCCGTGACTATGTACCACTAACACATGGACAGGTTCCAGTCTTTGGTGGAACAGAGCGGGTCTTGGGATGTAAGTAATACTGCAAAACGTTGCCGTACCGCCTATCAGCGAGACCAAGTGGGCTTGAGCCAAAGATACTGGAACTGCTGACTGAGATGTGAACTGTAGTCTATCTCAATGCTTTTGATACCACGGTTGAGTCGATCAGCAGTAGAAGAATGTGGTTACTGCGATCCCTCGGGGAGCGTATGAACGCCACACGTACTGTCAGTAAGTGAACATGGACGATCCTTCATGTGAGACTGACGCTAACCGCGCACCCACAATTCAGAAGAATTCTGGATAAGAGTGCTCGAAGGCCTGAATCACAACGAATACGACGTACCCTTTGCGCTCTTATATACTGTTACCGAGGCAGACGACATTGAAAATAGTTCCTCGCATTCAGATGCAACGCCAACGTCTGTCAAGTCATGCGTGTTCGAAGGATCTATTGGCGTGCCGAGAGGGCATGCAGTGTCACCCGATAAATTCAGCTTCAAGCACCATGACGGCATCTTAACGCCCGCCTTTCGAGAAGCTACGCAGACCCTGGAGCCCAGCATGCTCAGCATCAAAGACCGCACGCTTCCACAACCACTGCTAGACATCATTGAATGGCGCGGCTACAAGGATCCTTGTAGAGAGGCAATGGTTCTACCCCTACGACCAACCAATGCAGACAACGTGTGCGCCCTGTTACTGTTAGGCATCAATCCACGAAGGGCATATGATCATGAGTACAGGTCTTTCATGGCCATGCTCAATAGACAGATCGCCACATCGTTGGCGTCAGTACTACTTTTCGAAGGTGAAGTGCGGCAAAGCAAAGAAGTCGCAGAGATGGCTACCCTACAAAAAGAACAAATGTCTCGACAGCTCCAACTCCAGACCGGGCGAATGCGACGAATGACAGAGCTATCGCCCATGGGCATGTTCCTATTCAACCCGGATGGACTTTTATTAGAGGCGAACGAGAAATACTACGAGATGACAGGTGTCTCATCTACAGGAGCTAAACTGCCTTGGACTATTGATATGATGGTGGGCGAGAGCAGACAAGTCGCGCAAGACATGTGGGACTGTACGCGATATTGTCGTGCCAATCACATGTTGCAAACGCTAACCACGAAGTTCAACATCCAGATATGATCACTCACCATAAGCCAGCAAGTCGTGAGCTACAATTCGCCAATTCGACATGCCAACCACGAGACATTGACGGTTCACTAATCGAGTATTGGGTCCTCTCTGCTAGTCAGCCAGAGCTAAGCCCCGATGGTGAGCTGATCAGCATCATGGGCTCGCTCACGGACATTTCGCATTTGAAGTGGGCACAGGGTCTGCAAGAACGAAGACTACGGGAGGCAGAAGAGGCGAAGCGTCAACAAAACGAATTCATCGACATCACGTCGCACGAGATGAGAAGTAGCAATATCCCCCCTATACTGATTGCATTCGAAATGTCTACTGACGCGTTTACCAACATTTAGACCCGCTTTCCGCGATCTTGATATGTGCCGACGATATCAAAGATACTCTGACGCAGTATAAATTCTCATGCACTGGCGATCGAAAGATGGCCCAGGACTGTATTGAGGCTGCTGAAAACATCACTCTTTGTGTTCAGCATCAAAAGTCGATCGTCGACGATATTCTCACGGTCTCAAAGCTGGACTCAAATCTTCTCCGCATCACGCCAATGCCAGCGCAGCCTATCATCGTTGTACAGCGGTCCATGGCAATGTTGGTAGCCTCTAGTCGAATATATACGGAAGCTGGGCTGACATGATCCTAACAGGTTCCGTCCTGAAATACAAGCCAAGAACATCGACTTCAAGTTCGTTCCGCATCAGAGTATCCGGGACCTTGACATTGACTGGGTCATTCTTGATCCAAGTCGACTCCTTCAAATTATCGTCAACCTTATTACCAATGCCATCAAGTTCACTATGGACTCACCAGTTCGCTCAATCACAGTTCATGTCTGTGCTCATGCGGATTCGCCAGACTTTGGCGTACCAGAAGGATTCCAATGTACGTAGATGCATTGGTTGAATATCCTGAAGGTGAAGCGCTAATTCTATGCGCCCGCCGTTAGTTGTTCCGCAAAGACAAATCGTGAACGAATTCGGAAACGGCGAGGGTTGGGGCTCAGGCTCGTTCGTCTATCTTCGATTCAATGTCCAGGACACTGGATGTGGTTTGTCGCCTCAGCAGATATCGCTGCTATTTGAGAAGTTTGCGCAAGCTGTGAGGAGCGACCAGCCCCGAACCATTGCAAAATCTAGGCTGACAGAGTTCTCAATGTGAAGTCTCCACGGACGCATATGCAGTACGGCGGTAGCGGCCTCGGGCTCTTTATCTCACGCCAACTTGCTGAGCTTCATGGCGGTCAAATCGGCGTCTCGTCGCAAGCTGGCGTCGGCAGTACTTTCGGATTCTACTTGAAATGCAAACGTATGATTGCAAAAAAGCCTACAATCCCAACGGATACAGTGAAGCACGCTCTGGATGCCGAACACGCGACATCTTCGCGCAAAATCAGTGCTGCAACCGCAAATCAGACCTCCACCGCGCCCACAACTGCTACCGGTGTTGAATCCCCAGTACAAGCGAACATCGTCCGGCCCATAGATCACAAGAAAGGCGAAGAGAAAGACAATCGACTCCACGTTCTTGTCGTCGAAGACAATCTGGTCAACCAAAAGGTACTGGTGAAACAGCTCACGAAAGCTGGCTGCGTCACGCATACCGCCGATAACGGCGTCTGGGCATTGAAGCAGCTCGCGAAAACGAAATTCTGCGTTGCTAATGGCATGCCACTCACCATCGTTCTCATGGACTGCGAGATGCCGGAGATGGACGGCCTCACTTGCTGCAGGAAGATACGAGAGATGGAAGAACGGAAAGAGATCACGAAGCATGTGCCAATCATCGCGGTAACCGCAAATATCCGAGGAGGACAGATGGATGACGCAAAAGAAGCGGGCATGGATGATGTTGTTGGGAAACCGTTCAGGATCCCTGATCTCCTAGCGAAGATGAAGGCCTTGTTGGAGAAGCTAGAGGACTGAAATGATGATTTATCTTCTCTAATATGAATCCTTGACGCATGCATGGTCCAGAGCAGTCACCGTAAGCACTACGCTGCCTCATACTACAAGGTCTTTTATGAGGAACGAGGTCGTATGCAGTCAGTGGACCAATACCATCGCCAACAAATTTTTCAATGCTGGCTGTGGTGGCGCTGAGTATGGCGACACGCTCAATACTCAGAGCATTTTCACCCGTTGTCGACAAACTTATAACATGTCGAGGCCACATACACCGCCCATGCTTTTCTCGACGTACGACCTCGGTCGAGGTCGTCCAGAGATGCTTTACGTTTGCAAATACCCCGAGAGACTCGATCAAGCTGCTGTCATAACCTCGACTCGCTCTTCTTGTTCATCTATGTAAACCCAAATTACCGAACACGAGTGTTGGAGACCTCTCGTAGACATTTCAAAAAGACAGCCAGGTGAAAGTCATGCACCTGAACTCCCCAAACGCCGACACAGCGAACATCATCTTTCAATCTGTCAATTTCGGATACTCAGACCAAACACAGACATTGCTTCCAACTGCTTAAACTTTCGGTCGACGAACTCGTAAGTTCGCCACCATGAATGGAGAGAAGAAGAAGAGGTTTGAGGACGGGAGAGGAAGTTTATATGCACCAAGGGCGGCGTTAAGGTAGCGCTAGTCAAACATAATGGTACCGACAAGATGGTATTGAAGAGGGGGGCAGGTGATGCAGCAGCGTCACGTTGCAATGGACGTCACCGGCTGATAAGCAGCGTACCTACCCAGTGTTTGTCTAGTACCGACGGAATGACTTCATGACGAAAGGAAAGAAGGGAAATCCAATCAAACAGGAAATGAAGAAGAGAATAGAACATGACAGTATGAGACACCCATCACCGACTTACCATTCCGTCCTGTGACCCATAGCTCACATCCAGAACATCGTTCTGTCGAGCGCCTCAGCCCACGGACCGGGGCCTCCAGTGCGAGCCTTACCCCAGGCAGTAACCGCCTCAGCTAAGATATCTGTCTCCAACTGCGCTTCCACCTTCTTCTCGTGCGCACGCTCTACTTCAATCTCATCAGCCGACTTCCTTGGCGCGTTACGACCCGGGCGTGCAGGAACAGCAGGAAGCCCGGCCTTAGCAGTTGTCAGCTCTTGAGCCTTGTTGGTCTCAATTGCTTGCCTGCTAGCAAGGTACGCCGCGTAGTGTGCGCTATCCTTACTTGGGCTGAACCAGTCGCGAAGGTAGGCTCGGCCTCGGTCGCAGAGCCTGTCAGCATAGTACGCTGGCGGAGCGTAGGATACACCGATAGTTGCTCGAGCATATGTGTAGCAGAGTTTGTACGTGAGCTCCTGCAATTCGCAATCTCCGTATCCGATTTCGTTGGCGATGACCATGTAATGTGTCGGGATAGCGGTTCCTTTGAGGCCGTGATGAGACTGCAGATAGAAGTCTGAGTAATGCGGCGAAGTGACGACTTGATCGACGAGCGTACCAGGCATACAGTTACCGTTCTTGTGGGCTAGAGAAGTTGCTGGGTAAAAGCGGGTTGCATGACGCTTTACGGCTATTACAACGGTGATCAGGGCATTGCCACAACCGGCACGCTTGCAAGCGTTTCTAATCTGCTGCAACTCGTCGTCGCGAACTTTGGCAAATTGTCCAGTGCTGACACCGTCTCGGTAGAAGAGAACCTTCTTTGGCGGGGTCTTGGTAGCAGACATGTAAGCTTGAATACGCTCGAGGACCATAGCTTCCAACGAGTCAATGATCTGGTATTGGTTAGCAAAGAGCCTCAATGATGATAATTAACTTGCCTCTGCCTTGCAAACTTTCTGAAGCCTCATCGAGCCGCGAAACTTTGTTGCGTGAGAGTCAACGGACCCAACAACGCTTGCAATGGAAGGGCAGCCAATGAGCGATCCACTGCCAGGGTGAGTAACATCTGCCCCAAGAACCAAGGTTCCCACCAATGTGTTGCAGATGCGAGATTTGGGGTTGTTGTCGACTTGCACCGTATGATTGCCACCTCCGAATTTGAGGTTCACTTTCATCATAACGTTGGCCATGTACTGAGTGATATCTTCCTTGCATCTTGATGTTTTGGTTTCGCGATCGTATTCGAGATTTGGCGCCTGGGTGAGGCAGAGAGACTGCAAAGACTCGTAGCGGTCCGTAACGTCCTTGAACGCTGAGTAGATGGGTATGCTTCTGCTTTTGAGAAGTAAGACTGCGAAGTCAACTTGAGGGTGGTCTGTCTTTATGGCCTTGATAGTAGCTCTCATGCCATCGCGGATAGCTTTGTCAGTCATGTCGCGCATGCCAGGGATTCTTCGAGAAGCCAGCCGAGTCGCGCCAGCGCATACGTTGTACTGCGTGAGCAAATCGCTCAGAGCTTTCTCATATGTCTTGATTGTGTTCTCCTCATCATGCATGCCAGATTCCACCAAGATCAGATAGTTGACTCGTTTCTTGGGTGTCGATGTGGCTGCTGGGGAGTCGACAAAGTTCTTTAGTGTCTCGAGGTTCCACTGCGCGTTCGTACTCGGTTTCGTATTGGCGGTGTTTGCACCGTAGATAATGTCCAGTGAAGGCATCTTCGCTGAAGGGATCTGCATCATCGTAGGCGTGACGAGTAATCTATCACACCCGGGCTAGAAGTGGTAAGGATTAGCTAGTATATCAATGTGTTCAGATTCGAAGGACTTACTAGTTCCTGCTGATTCTGGGTTGGATCAAGTCCCAGGCTAGCCATTCCTTCAATCTCAACCAGTCGTCGACTCTCTTTTGGCAGATGTGTTGCGTGGTTCAACATACCCTCTACCAAATTTTCTGGAAGTAGTCGGCTGTAGATCTGATACGGCATGATTCGTAGATACTCGCGGGGATAATGTACTGGATCAGCTTCCGTACCAACATTGATTGATTCCAGTTTCTCGTCGAACCCTTGTCCGAAGATGGCCTTCATATGGTCCACAACCCGTGTGCGTTTAGGATCTGTGACCCACTGACCTTGATCATTCTTGGAGGTCTTTTGAAAGCTCATCTCCTTAGCATTCAGTAAGGGGCCAAGGTCAAAGAAGGTCTTGATCCGATTCTGGGGTTTGTTGAGATGATCAACATGCTCTTGATCAGAGGCATCCGGTAAGCGATCGGGTTCAATGTAGACGCGGAGTGTTCTAAGTAGCCGCATTCGTTCGTCGTAGGGAAAGGTAGTGTCCGCCAGGAACTCGCCAACGGTGATAGGACGAAAGAATGCACTGGTCGCTGCATTGACGTTCAACAGAACCTTCTGCATACCGGGCTTGATTGTGTAGTAATAACCTCGAATTGTGCACAATGACTGTAGATTAGCGTTGCCGCTCAGACGTTCGGAGCCACATTTGACGAAGAACTTGTTACTAGACTGTTGGAATACGTTGGCAGTAAAGCTTTTTGTAACAGCGATGTTCAGCGCGTTGACGATAGGATTGAAGTTGAAGTCTGGGTCGCTGTTCTCGCTGCTAGCGTCGATGTAAGCATACATTCCGTCCAGATCGAGTTCACGATGGAATTTGATGAACAGCTGAATCTTCTCGCCTCCGTCGGCGATAGCATCTGGCATCCACACAGAACCAGCATGAGTATTTGGATCTCCTGGGATGACAGGGGCGTAGGTAATCGCTTCGTGGATGTTCTTCCAGGCCACGATGGTCTTGACACGATCCGTAGCGTAGTACTGCTTGTTGTCCTTGAGGATGGGCCATGCTTGCTCCATGGTCTTGAAGATAAATTTGGCTTTACGTTTGGATTTGCCGGCAGGGATTTTGAGGATTTCGTAAAGGAAGAATCTAGTGTCGGACTTGAGGTTCACTTCGAAATGATTGGTGAAAACGTCGGTGTTTGACTGCGCAAACTCCTTCCTGAGCGGGAACTGGGCTGTTTTTGCTTTGCTGACGACAGTATCGGGGGTAAACTTGTTGCTTGGGCCAAGCAGGGCTGTCTGTGATAGAGCAACTGAGTTGGCTGCATGTGTCTCTACAGGCTCTGTTCCGGTGATGTCGCGGACCTTGCTGAGACCGTCGATAGATTTGCCAGCGCCCTCAAGAATAGGTTTCAGAATGAGATTTTCCGAGTCCGTTGCAATACGAGCTTGAGTCTCTGGGTCAACCGGTGCAGGAACTTGAGCGTCAGGTGTGGGCTCTGAAGGTTTTTCCAAGGGCTTCTCGGTGTCGCAATATTTGAGGATAGTTAGTCGAGCCAGGTTAGCTTTCAACGCACCATAGATCTTGGTGAGTGGCGATTGCGTATTCGTAGGTAACGTGCGTCTGAGACATGTTTCATCCCATGCATCATGACCGCTGATACCGCAAATGACACAAGGATCGTCGCTCATATGCTTGAGGAGCGAATTTTTGGTGAGTTTCTCAAGTTCGCTCATGGTCGAAAGAGATGCTGAAAAGGCTGACTTGGAATGAAAGGAAAGTAGTGCGTACCAATCCGATCGAGAGAAAGTGAATCAGGTAAAACTCTGTACCCGAAGTCTTGATAGGTGACGAAGACAAGAGGATAGAGCAGTGTGCTTATGTAGTATTCCTGGGGGCTTTCCTGCTTGCCCGCACAATTGTTCGACAGCTTGCATGGACGTTGACAAGAATTGCCCTGAGGTTAATTGCTAGGAAGAAAACCATGCTTAGCAGACTGGGCATCTCGTACATCTGAGTTTCGCATACGGGACAGGAAGCCCACAGTAAGCTTGTCTGTAAGCAATGGAGAGCGTTTGTAGACGACGACAATCCACCGCCCGCCCAGTTGAATGCCCTTTCGCCGTCCCCACAGGCGCTTGCTGATGATCAGGCTGTGTAGTGACTGGCATCATGTGCGCGAAACAGGAGTCTCGTAAATCTGTATTGACATCGAAACGAGAAGCTTTCGCGTGAATAGCGATTGCAGCCCTCGAAGTGCGTCCGTCACTACATGGCGGAACGATCGGTTTTGCGGCGCAGTCCGGGGTAACGTACCGCGGTCGATAACGTTGTCAGTACCTAGGTACTCTGTCAATGAGCTACACGCCCATATCAAGAATTGAGCCTCTAGTATAGAACTTGGCAGGTGTTGATGTCGCGGTGGGACGATGCAGGTGTTGTATTGAGAGTCTCATCTCATCTTGCCACGGCGGCCAGTGGAAGGGGAGACCAAGCGCCCTCACGTGCTAGCGCATTTTACGCGACGCGTCAAACCTTCCTTCATCCCCACCTTGCCGTCCAGACCAATCTACACCACAACACGCAGCACCATCTCCGCCTGCCACAAACCATCACTCGGCAAAAGCACAGCACATCTACCTTGCATCCAGAGCCCACAAAGTTGCTGCGCAGAAAATCCTCAAAAAGCTAGCTCCACCATGGACCACCCACAAACCCCCCGCATCCTCGCCCCACACCTCTCAAACTTCCAACACCGCATCGTGCGCATGCTAGGCAAAGTCGTACAACTGCGCGGCGAGACAGCAGTTATCGATGCAGGAGGCAATGTTGATGTCATTTTGAACAGGGTGGGTATTTTGATCTCCGCTTTCATACTGTTCAAGCTAACAAGGACCAACTAGGATTCACACCTCGCCGTCGGTCACGCAGTAGAGATCATCGGCAAAGTAGACCAGAATCTACATGTCAAGGTACAAGCTGCTACGGACTTTGGGACGAACATCGGTATGTGCCCTCCCTTACGAAGTAGGATTCATGTTAACGCAAGAGTAGACTTCAATGCCGCAAACGCTGTTGTAGATGCTACACATCGGTACAAGGAGATCTTCTACGACGACAACTAGATAATTGCCTAGCAGAGCTGTTTGAAGATGAAACTAGTGGATCTGTTCGTCATCGACTGCTCATCATGTATCTTGAAGAAGAAAAGGAGAGCCATGATCAGATGTCATTTGTGTAAACCAATTGCAAGAATACAATACGCTATGTGTTCTACGCCCAATGTATGGTATCTTCCCGCCACGTAAATTGAGCGCCTCTTGAACGCCAACCCATTCCAGATAACGCTCGCATATTCATACAGTTACAGTCAACACTGGGTTCCCCTTCAGTTGTTTAGAGCTTACTTCGCACTCCCTCAAGTCTAAACTTGACGTCTTTGAGCTGTTTCCCAGTTGGCTTCCATGCCTCAAACATGCCCAGCAACTTCTCCACTTCATCTCCAAGTTCTTTCTTGACGAACTCTTCTTCTAGCAGCCCTCTCATCGCCCACGGTAGGAAGTAAGGGTTCGGGTTTGTTGTGGTGGCAGATGGCTCGTAATGATTCACCCTGAGCTTGAACACGTCCTCCTTCTTACTGTTATTTGCGAGCTTCTCGCCAATGATGGGGATGTTGATGCCCTGGAAACTGCCCGCAGTGTTCGGTCGCTCTTTAGTCGTTGTTGGTGTCGTTAGTGATGTTGTTTCGAGGGCGTGTTGGACGGCTAGGGAATAGATGGCAGGGTCTTCGTAGACGCGAGAGTGACCTTCGCCGCCATAAAGGGAGCCTGCGAGGGCAGGGGAGAGTTCGCGAATGAGGCCGTGATCGGGGAGACCCAGATTGCGTAGCTTCAGCGCGAAGCCAACTAGGTGGGTTAGGAAGTCTGGCGCATGGATGCGGCCATCGACGAAGACGGCGCGGTATATGTAAGGATGCGATAGCGTTGAGAAAGTTGACGACTGACGTGTGTTAGTGAGCGCAAAAACTTCTTTTCAAGAACGGTCTGCCTACTTCGAGAGAGACCAGCTGGTCGTCGATACTACCAACGTATAGTATCCGCACACCAAATCGAAGGACTTCGTCTAGAGCTGCGAGATACATCTGGCTAACAAGACTCTTAGGGTTGGAGAACTCAAACAACTCGGCAGCCGTAGGGCCAAAGTACTTCGTCTTGTACTCGATGAATGGGCCCATGTTGACACCGGCCATGGCGCATACTCCAATTCTTGTTGCGTTGACACATCCGAACTGTATGAGCTTCGCCACGAGCATCATGGCTACCGGCACACCCTGCGAGTGGCAGGCGACTAAGATGAAGTCGGCTTGCTTCAGATGATCGATCCAGTTCAGCAAGAGTTTCCACAAAGAGTTGACGCGCTCAGCAATGAAGCCCTCTCCTTCTAATGCTATCTGCTCAATCTCTGGACTGTATCCCCGCGCTTCGGTCCAGTCTTTGATCGCTGCTGCCGCTGCATTCGCGAATCGAATTGATGTACCCGTCGGTTGCCCTAGCACCTTTTGAATAATGGGTGCAGGGAAGAAGCCATGTACGCCAATCGCTACAGCCTTCTTGATCTTCGGCGGTGCCGGGTTGATATGTAGGTGAGGGGTCGCAGGCTCGCTTCCGAGGAAATATCGCCGGACCTGCTTCCAGAAGTTTGGTTGCTGGACCATTTGGTAGGTTGTCCTGAACTCTGGTAGCAGGAGGTTCGCCGGTCCTTGCTTGGCCTTCGCTGCCTGCTTGAGCGCTTGCTTAGCAGCAGTTCCTGTCTCGGGTTTCGCGTCGGGTTTCGTCTCGGGTTTCGTAGGCTCGAGCACTGGTGAGGCCTTCGTCGGCGTAGCGGGCTTACTTGACGTGGGAGTATCTGCTGGCGTGTCTTTAGCGGGAGGCTTTGTCTTCGGTCGGCCTCGTAATGATGCAAATGATTTCTTAGTCACCGGTTCCTCTTTCGGTGGCTGCTGTGGTTCTTTGGGTATCTCTGCGTCTGTTTTGGGTTGCTCTTGCTCGTTGAACTGCGCTGCTTCTGGGTTCGATTGTGAGGGGGTATCGAACACTGCGACCTCGCCGACATGTTTCTGCGGTCCAGCCTCTCCTGGCTTTTTTTCGTCTTCTGGCTTGCCTCTGTACCAAAACGCCCATGCGGACGTTTTCGAGGTTCCTGCAGTACTCTTTTGAGGAGTTTCAATAGGCGCATCGGAAGTTGTGGGTGTTGGTGTTTCTTGGGGGGCAGTGGGTTCGGGTTCGGCAGGTGCTTCGGGTAGCGTCTGAGGTTCGGTATCGACTTTAACTGAGTCGCTATTCTCAGTGGGAGGCTCGACTGGAGGTGGATTCGCCTGCGCATTCTGCGCACTACTCCACGTCCAAAACCAAGAGCCAGATGCAGCTCTCGCCAGAACTTTGGCAGTTGTAGATGCTATAGCCCTCGACTCTGTGTCTGGACGAGGTGCCGCTTCTTTCGGCGAATCCTTCCCATCTGCATCTGCGACCTGGTCGGTGTTGGGTTGGATAGCGCCAACATCTAGGCCCTTCGTTTGCGCGTCTGGCTCTTCTGAAGGTGTCGGTCCAGGAAGTGGCGTGGTGGAAGCCTCGTCAACGCTGGAGTGTGCCTCGCTTTTGACCTTGGCTGGATCTGCGTACCCATCGGGGCGTGACCACCAAGATTTCCATCCCCATGCACTAGCAGCTGCATCCACTTGTGATTTGGGTGGTTCGGGGGGTAACGGCGGTTCGGAAACTTGGGGCGCTGGTGTCTCTTCGACTTCTTGTGGCTGTGGCTTTGGCTTTGGGGCTTCGTCGAGGAGACCGTCTGAGGATACGTTCACCTGGGTGATGGAGGCGGGTATGGCATCGCCCTTGCTCGACTTGCGCTTGGTGAGGAACTTCTTGGGCGACTCGTCTCTTGGCTTCTTCGCTTCGTCATCAGGTAGTTCGCCTGTCGCGCCCCCGCTGACTCCGATGCTTTCCTTCGCGGTCTGGACTATGGCAGGCGCTTTCGACCGCCAACTGCCCGTGCCCGAAAGCCACCTCTTGCCTCGCGGTGTCTGTGTCCCGGAGGCTGTCGGTGTTGTGGCGCCAACTGAGGACGCTGACGCTGCTACCGACTGGTCCGAGGGTGCATCTGGCAGGATGTCACTACTGCTGGGAGTAGTGTCGGTCGTACTTGCATCGTGTGGGACTGCTGGGGCCTTGGTGGATGCGTCGGAGGGAGCCTCGGGGTTTGGCTTCGACTTCTTGCGTGGGTTCATTCCGGCAGGGAGGGTGAAGGAGCTGAGAAGGCGATGCGACCGCTGGAACAAGCATCAGCACGGGCAAGACACGTGAAGTTGGCAGCATACCTTCATCCCGAGGTGGACCAGGCGCGTCGTGCTGAACCAGCAATGACGCATGTGGGCCCATCCCGTGCACTAGTCCCGGATTAGCGTACCCTGATAGCGTGCATTCTGCCACCGCCTAGCGATATTGCCGGGCTTCCCAAATTTTGTAGCGCGAACTTTTGCCCGCAGTACCACGACGCCAAACCGCAGCAATGGCGATCCAAAAGAAGGTGCGCAAGTACAGAATTAATCCTGGCGATAGTTACTAACCCCCAAAAGCACGGAAAAGGTCGTCTTGACAAATGGTACAAGCTCGCCAAGGAGAAGGGCTATCGTGCGCGTGCCGCCTTCAAGTTGATCCAGCTGAACAAGAAGTACAAC